CTCCCATTGTTGTCAATTAATCTCCCATTGTAGACATTCGATCTCCCAATGTAGACATTCGGTCTCCCATTGTTGTCAATTAATCTCCCATTGTAGACATTCGATCTACCATTGTAAACATTCGATCTCCCATTGTTGTCAATTAATCTCCCATTGTAGACATTCGATCTCCCATTGTAGACATTCGGTCTCCCATTGTTGTCAATTGATCTCCCATTGTAGACATTCGGTCTCCCATTGTTGTCAATTGATCTCCCATTGTAGACATTCGATCTCCCATTTTAGACATTCGGTCTCCCATCGTTGTCAATTTATCTACCATTGTAAACATTCGATCTCCCATTGTAGAATTTCGGTCTCCCATTGTTGTCAATTGATCTACTATTGTAAACATTCGATCTCCCATTGTTGTCAATTGATCTCCCATTGTAGACATTCGATCTCCCATTGTAGACATTCGGTCTCCCATTGTTGTCAATTGATCTCCCATTGTAGACATCCGGCTCCCATTGTTGTCAATTGATCTACCATTTTAAACATTCGACTCCCATTGTTGTCAATTGATCTCCCATTGTTGTACTCAATTGTCCTACCATTGTTGTACTCAATTGGTCTCCCATTGTTGTCTCAATTAGCCTACCATTGTTTTCTCAATTGGCCTACCATTATGAATTAAATAACCTATCATTGTTGTCTCAATTGTTCTAAGGTTTTTATCTTAATTGGTTTACCATTGTTGCAGACAATTGTCCAACTATTGTTGTCTAATTTAGTCTCTCTCTCTCTCTACCATTTCTTTCAACTGCTCTACCATTGACTTCAAGATTATGCACCAAGAACGTCTAGAGAAGACTAACAATTATCTCAGGAGAGGTGACTGAAATGTACAGTACAACTCCTCAATAAAAGACGATAACACTTTTTCAAAATCTAAAAATAACCAAAACAACATCCTACTTCCAATGAGAAACCACTTCCAAGGATATCCATCTTTGGGCCATGGTCTCCCATGGGTGAGTCTCAACATACTAAAGCCACATATCACCCAAGGTCCAAAATTCACACTAAAACTACTAATTTGTGAATATAAATATCATAGAATATATTTCATAGGTATTTAAGTTAGAATAAATAAATAAATATTCTCTAAATAATATCGGTAATCATGTAGAGTTGGCGTCCATCAATGCCTTTATTAAGATACCTTTAGTCTTATATACAGATTCTCCTGATAGAGAAGTGGAACATTAGGGATAAATATATGAGGATATACAAATTTATAATGGAAATATGTACATATAGACATTTTTAAATCTTTTTAGGCCTTCTGCCAACAGTCCTATATACAGAGCTATATTTTGATATAATATTATATATATATATAGGTGTTATAAGTATTCTCCTGATCTCCTTTTCATAAATATATTTCTGTAAGTTATGGGATGGAAAACACTGGATGTTCAACAAGAAAAAGAAAGAAATAAAGTATATACAACTATAGGGTCTTTATGTATATTTTTTAAGAGTGAAAAAGAGAAAGGCGAAAAGAGTGTTTTTCCTTCATAGAATCTAATATATTCTGTTACAGGAAAGAACCTCCGTGAGGGACCATAGTCCAAAAACGATAGATACTCCTGGTCTCTCCTGGAGGTGATCTCTCATTGGAGGTTGGTTGTTGTTTGGTCCTTTTTGGATGTTACAAATGTTCTCTATCAGAAACGTATTTGTTCACCATGAGTCGGTCTCATGGGACAATTCACCGAAGTGTAACGTCAGTAGTTTGGAAACTTGGCAAATATTGTAACTATCTCTCTCCCCTGGGCCGACCTGTGTCGGGGTAGGACGTCGTCCTACAGCTGCCATCCTGACTCGAGATGTGACAGCTGTACCGAGGCCACAGATACTGGAGTTGCCGAGCTGTACGACACCTACTCCGGAAATTGTTCGCTTCCTGCGAATTTCCCTTGATCCTCAGGACTGCCTCTTCAGCATCGGTCTCCATCCTGAGTTAATTAAGACCACAAGTGTGGCTACGATCTACAAGTACCATCTTGGTCTTAAGGTGGGTAATGCTAGCTACTTCATCGACTTGCCTACTCTGTGGGAAATATCTCTCGCAGTCCATCGGTGGTGGAGTCGTTCCGCGGTGGAGATCATGTCTAATATTTACATATATTAACTATAATGGCTAAAAATAGTTTTGAAACGAGAAATGTTCACGTTGAGTTTCTTTTTGTTAAATCGCGCGCACACACCAAACTGGCGAAGTTTTGAATTGAAGGCTTTTCCATTGGTGTGTATTATATGGTCAATCAGCTTCAACCTTGGTCTCTGTCGCTCTATAGAAACTTTACATATTTTACATATGGATAATTATAAATAGATTTTCAAAATACCGTGTCATATAGCTGTGTCACCGACCCGAGTCCGCCCGATTGCATAGACGGTTAATATATGGCGCTTAGTTTTTGGCGCCTATTTTAACGGAATAGGTGATCTTTCTTTTTATAGATCAATACAACATGAAGTTGCGGGAGGATGATACTTATGTGTCTAAAGTGGTACCTCTCCCTTTAAAAATGCACTGAAACATCACATTTTTATTTATCACCCCAGATCAATACGTAATGGTGGTGATAAAGAATGATCCACAACACCAGTTTTGAAAAATTCAGACAAAAAGCCAACAACCTGTATAGCGTAGTTTCGGGCTTTGACCTTCATCAGTACAGGGGCGGCTTCGATTCTATAACATCCTACGAGAGTGGTTATAAATCGGTCAAATTGACCAAAAGGTGTTTAAGCCGGTGAAGTAACAAGGGCCGATTTCCAAGCTACAATACAACATAAAGTTGCTGGAGGATGGCATTCATGTAACAAACAAAAAATATGAAATCGAAGCCGCCTCTGTACTGATGTGGGCCAAACCCCGTTGTGTTGTGGTACATTCTTTATTACTACCATTACGTTTTTGTAATGGGTGATGAACCAAAATGTATCATTTTAGTGCATTTTTAAAAGGAGAGGTGCCATTTTTGATACATATAGATCAATTTTTTGAAAATAGAGCAATCCATAAATAAATCTTTAATTAAAAAGGCATA